TTCAAAACTTTCAAGACGAGAGTTGTTTCTTATTCACCACAATAAAAGGTACAGCATCTTTTTTCTGACAGACTAAACCTTAATTGCTTATTCTACCAAGGAGCCACCTTTAAAGCAGAATACTGTTCTAAGTAACACTTCCCCGAGCACAGAGTAATGGCAGCTCTAGTGAGAGCTGACTTGCCAAAAAAAAAAATACAAAATATTTGCAAACAGCAGTGGCAGAAAGTACTACGTCGTCGTTCAGGATTCCCGAGTTAGGTGTTGCGAGTCTCCTTTTTAAAGGCTAGGTGTTGCAGATGAATCCCACACTTCCTTAGGAGTCTGGTTGATTTCTGGTTAAAGGTGCCAGGAAATTGCTATAATTGGTGGACGAGTTTGACTCCGTGCACATTTTACGTACAGAAACTGTCCCAACTTCGAAGATCCAATTACAAATTGTTCACGTTTTCCTCAGCACAAGTAGGAAATTTTTAAAAGCTTTTTTTTTTTCAACGTAGATGAGCTGTATTTTTAAAGTCTGCTTCACTTTTATCAGCATCCTAACTAACTTGAATTTTTTTTTATTCTATGTAGTATAAAATCTATTCACATGGTTAGTGATGTGCGAGAGACCTGTTTGTCTTGGCTGTGAAGCCTTTTGGAGGTACCGCTGAGCTTCTAAGTGTAAAATCCACACGGTGTTCATTGGGTTTGGTTTTTCTAACACCTGTTTCCATTTGGCATTCCAGTTTAAGGCTGAGCATCACCAAAAAAATGACTAAAAACACACACTAAGGATTTATATTAGTCCTGCAGAAGTTATCTTCCTTCTACGATATTAACAGTCACCGTCAAACGAGGTGGGGTTAATGTGGGGTAGGAAGAGTTCAAAAATAGCTGCAAACCAAAGAGATTTTAAAAAGCTAAGTTATTCTTCAGGCATTTAGGCTGAGTAGCAGGTTACTAATACTATACGTGTTTCAAATGTGCTATTTCATAATAGTCATGAGCCACTTCTACGCAGTAAAAACCAAGCCCATCCCTTGATGGGGTGGTGCGTTGGCTGGTGTATTTATGGGGCTATTTACTGAAGGCTGACGCTTTTTTTCCTTTTCCAGCTGAGAATGGTGAAGGCTTCCATATAATTTTGAAGTGATGTCACACAACTGCTAGGCTGATACTCCAGCGCAGAATGAAGTCCTGCTTAAAGATCATGAAGATCATCTAAAACCTTAGGATCTAACTTCACCGTATAAGATGTTTCATATTGAAAACACAAAATGACCTTTCTAATGAGCTGTTTGATAGGTGAACTTTCTTATCACTGCCATAGCTAAGTGTCCTCATGAGAGGTATAATGCCATGACAGCTTACGTACAGGCATGGAAGACAATGTAAGCAAAGGTGCTTGCCCTTTACTGAAACAAGGCAAATTATGGCCAGTAGATACAGTTTCGAGAAGCGAAGCGCGGTTGCTTTTCTGTTCTCTGTATCCGGTTGGAGATGAATGTAAACTCATTTTGGGGCATTTACCTTTCTGTGCCAGTTTGTCTGTTACTTGCTTGTACCTTATGCTGGTTTTATTTTTTTGATGTTAGCAGAGCACATACTAATCTGTGTGGAGACGAGTAGTTAAGCTGATTGATAGTGATCAGGTTGTCGGGTCTTTGAGAGTAAAGCTGTCAAAACAGCTTCCCGTGTAAATTGTGTATAAGAGTGTATGTAAGAAGTGTAAATGCCAGAATGGGGCTTTTAAGAAGCCCTAGACAGATGCAATATATGCATGCAGCAAACTGCATTATCAATAGTACCTTATTGGCGGGATTAATATAAATCCTATGGGGTACCAAGTAATTGTGTTTTGCTTTAACAAATTTAATGGAAAAGAATTGCCTATGCATCCTTTACGTTTAGTTTCCTAGGTTCTCTGCGGAGCACTGCTGCAGTTTAAACTCTTTGCTTGTTAAAAAAAACCTGTGGGTTTAAAAATACGAGCAGCGCAAGGTGGATTTTTACGACTTAGTGGAGTTAGGCTGAGGAGGGAAGATGACCCACTGGCACCACGGGGCCGCCACAGCTTTCAGCAACACCCAATAAATTGCTAACACTAAATACCCACCATTTTAGTCTCCTTACTGGCAGGGAAAGGCCCTGCTGTAGTTGCTATTATGGACAAGTATCTCACCTTTTCTGTTGACCTTCCTTCACCCTCCGATCCATACTGTACAGCTGTTACAGTGCCTCTTCCGTATGACCAAATATTTACTTTTCTTTGAAACAGGCAACCTGCTTTTTCAGTAGTTTGGATATTTCTCCTGCAGACGTGGCACAGCATTTCCTACGTTAAGGTTAAGTTTCAACGGGTTAGGTACTTAGAGGGGAATATTGCAAAAGGTATTAAGTGACAGTTTCATAGCTGTCATTTTGTGCCTTTGAAAAGTTCCACCTTGAGCTCTGGCTTAAAAGCTTGGCAATAGTTTGCTTTTTATGCTGCAGTGTTCAATGTAAACAACTACTACAGCATGTAAAAAAAGCAACTTTTTGATTTTTTTTTTTTCATTCCCTCTTCCATAACTGGCTCAAGTGCTTAGCAGAAAAGCTTCTTACAGCTGTAGCGTTTTGAAAATTTAAATTCATCAAAGCTAGACTTTCTTTCCTTTTTTATTTTTTTTTTCCCCTCCTCCCCCTGCACTGAAAGTAAAATTTTATGTACTTAAAACATTTCTGCCTAGAAGTTGTTCATCTTTTTGGGTACTGTTTGGTCCTAGTATTTTCTTGAACTGACACTTGTGTCTTTTCAGCTCACACCCTATCCAAATCCAAATATTTTATAAAAGTGGAAAAATCCTTGATTGGAAAGTATCCAAATAGCTAATTTTAAAGAATATTGAAAGTTGTACAGTAGTTTGTCCAGCTCACTTGAAATTGGAATTAAATTATGGCACCAGCAAATTGCTTTTGTTTTTTAATAAGATGTACACATTTCAATTTAAGTATAATAAATGTTTTTCAATAATTTTGTAAATGTGCTTTCTTTTTGTTTACTTCCCCTCCATCCCCACCCTGAGATAATTCTGTTGTTAAGATTTAGATTAACTGCAAGACCTACCCCAGCGATGACGGTAGGTAAAGGTAAATAATGGAAGCAGACCAGCTCTGCGCTTTATCCTGCACCCAACACATGCACTTGGATCTTCTGCTTCTACAAGAAAATTAGTTAAGATTTGAAATAACTGAAACAAATGCAAATTTGACATCAGCTGATTGTTTATTTGTGTCCTATCTCAGAGGAGGTTCCATTTGGTTTTTTGTACATCTTTAATGCGATAGACTTACAGGGTTCATTATGTTCTTAGAAAAAAGAAAAGAGCCAACAAAAGGCAACACTTCTTGACACACCAGTACCAATGACTTTCCTGGTACAGTTGAGAATAAAAATCTGCTTCGTGTTCTCCACTACAGCAGTACCTTAATGGAACTCCTAAGTGCGATTGTAACAACGCTCCCCCACTACTCTGCAAAACAGAGCCCCGCCTGGCTTAGTCTGCAGTTGTAAAGAAATCCACCTACTGCACGCTAATCTGTAATTTAGCCTCTCAGCTGAGATCTTAATTTACTGTCTGTCTCTGTCATCTGCAAACGCGTGAAGCATGAACACAACGCAGCCGCTGTTGTCCATAAAAGTCTCTTAATGCTCACGCTCCTTTTAAAAAGTCACTTAAAGTTTGGGAGGGGAATTGCCGTACTCTCCGGCAGTAGCTTCTCCAACTGCTTTTTAAGCCAGTATTTCTATTAATTGTCAGTAAAAACACAGCCCCTGAACTCTTAAAACATACACACACACAATCTTACACAAAAAAAGCTTTCTGAACTGTTCGAGTAGTTTAGCTCGGATAATTAAGTTGCTTAATATAAAAAAGTTTATTTATCTAACCCTCTAGCATTGAAAAACAGGATGAAAGCATGGCCTTAAGAGTTAATACATAGATTTTTTTTTTTTTTTGTTATTACCATTCAGAAGTTGACGGCTTCTTAAATAGCCCAAATGTGAAGAGTTTTGGCTTTCTACATTTGAAACCCACAGGTCTGGTTTGGGTCAAGTCCTGCCTATGGATTGATTTGCCCACCTGCTTGCCATGTCCCTAAAAAACGGGTGGGACAAACGGCTTGAATCAAATCCCTCGCTCCATTGTCCTTCCTGTAACTGACCCTGGTTTCCATCCTTCGTCTGTAGAAAAGCGTTGAGTAATGCACCCCTCTGCCCAGAGCCACTGCATCCTTCCCTTACGGCCCCCGGAGGGAACGGAGGACATGCCGGGGTGGCGGGGCAGCCACCTTTTAAAGGCCGACGGCATGGGCTTCCGTGACGGGCAAGCTTTATGCTAACACGTAGTTCAACTGAACCAAGTTCAAAACCTTGAGAAGTATTTCTAGTTCTAAAGTTACCTTGAGGTACTGCCTTACCTTTTGACATTACCTATTATGTCCTGTTATGTAATTAAATATGAAGCTGAATCATGAAAAAGTACACACTGTTTTGCTGTAAGAAAGAGCTCATGATTACCTTGCAGTTTATTCTTTTTTGGTCAACGTCTGCTAAAGCTGATTTGTCCTTAAACCTGCTACTTAATCTGCCATGTATATTCCAGAACAGCAGGTTCAGTTACTCGGCGTGACAGACTTGAACCCCACGTTAGGTCAGAACTTCACACTGATAGTGCTCACAAATGCAAATTAACTTCCAAGTTTAGTGAACTTTTCACCAAGTAGCTGCTATGCTGAAATGCCCCCACAGTTTACACGGTACGTCAGTTCTCATGCCAACAGAAGGAAGGAGTTAGTTATAATACAAACCAAAGCATCACCAACTTAATCCACAGCTGCACATTACGTTAAGATTTTTTCTACCTGGGAAAAAAAAAAAAACAAACGCTTTTCTTGTCACAAAACTGGATGACCAAACACCACTGTTAGGACTGTCAGGAAACCGACTCCTTCCACTGACGTGCAGTCCCATTCTTTTCTTCAATAACAACAACAAGAAGCTTTTCTGTGTGGTTGCAACTTACTGTCAAAGAATAATACAGCATCTGCAGAGGCGCCGTCCGCTCCCGCCGACAGAAGGGGGGGGAGTCACTGGAGCAAAGTAAGCATGAACTTTCACGTGAGGTAGATGAGCCTGTAGATGAAAAGTCTGCATTATAATGTAAATAGTAAAAAGCAGCAGTCCACCTCGTTTACTGGCCTGAAATCGGCTCTTGTTAAGGTTGGGTAGCTAAAAACACAGCATCCCTGTGCTTGATACTACCCAAGCTGTCTATTCCTGACGTGTCATTCTCCTGCCCCAACCAGCTCAGGCACGCTAACCTCTGGGCACTCACCTGCTCAGGGTTCCCACTTACTTCCCAGCAAAGCACCCATTAGCCCAGAGAGCCTGTCAGGAGAGGCACGTGTTCTGCTGCAGGGGAGACACGGACCCCTGGCTACTGAAGAAAGACTTCTCTGTGTCCTGTCTCCCAAATGCCCTGCTCCGCTCATCCTAGAAAGCGGTGTGGAATAGAGCGGGGCATCCGCCCTCCCTAGTCACTACTGGGGATGAGCTTTCCAATTGCAGAAGGGTTTGGACACAAATCTGGGATACGAAGTTGCAGCCAAGTTTAACAGCAAGACTTAACACCATCCCCCAGGGCAGGTGGTCCCTGGCCTACGGAGGGAGGTACGTGGAGGAAGAGACTTTGTGGCTGCATTCCGGGGCCTCACAGCCCTACAACTCCTTAACTGAAATCTCCAAGCAGATACTCTGTTTGTATTGACTCTGTGTATTAATGTATATTTTAGGAGGCTTAAAGAATTCCACTACACAATCCTAAAAACATAGAAGCCTGTGATTTGAAAAAATACAGAAAGCAGAGGATAAGCACTCAGTCACTCCAACAGCCTGAGCGTCAGGAGTTACAATCAGACCTGGACAATTATTGCCGCTCACGTAAGAAAAGCTATGCTTAGTCCCTAGAGACAGGGACCTAAAAGAACGATATTCAGACTTTTGTTTTTCCATCCTCCCTTGCCTGGGATGTCTGCAGGATTCACACAATCTCAGGCTGCACCAACGGCTCCTCGGGCGATCCCACCGGAACAAATCAGCAAATACGTACTCTGATGCGTTTGATTCCGGCTCGCGTGACTTGCTGGCAGTCGTACAGCTCAATTCTCTCCAAGTTGTGGCAGTTCTCCAGGTGTTCCAGAGTCACGTCAGTGATGAGAAGACAGTTATCAAGCTCCAGTACCTGCAGCCTCTCGTGACCACACGTACTGTTGCTCAGATGAAGAATCCCATCGTCGGTGATCAATTCACAGTGAGATAAGCTCTAAAACAGAGAGGCAAACGGCTAACAGCGTCACTCAGCCCTACGCTACTCTATCCTCTAAACATCGCAAGTCCTCTTCAACCTCCTTCATTCTAGTGGTTAAACAGCTACAAAGAGTATACAGCTGAAATTCAGAAGAGTAACAAAAGGAACAGCTCTACTTAACAAAAGGGCTGTAACTATTTTTAACTTTGCTTCAAAACGAGTTGAATCCCAAAACAAGCATCAGTGGCAAACTCCTCCAGGCCCCCTTTGCTCTCTATGAACATGGAAATTCTCTTCCAGCTGTCACGCAACTCCATTACTCATGCATGCAAACACCACCTGTGCCGTGCCAGAAATGGGAGACAACTTTAAAGGATGATCAAGAGCGTACAGGAATAGCTGAAGCTCTACTGACAGGAGTTACTGTTTCACAGCTACCCTGTTTCTATGCGTACCACCAAGCCTATGCAAGGCCCCATAGAGAGAGAACCATCAGCCTGGACTGATTTGCCAAACAATGATTTCAGGAAGCAGTGAGCGCTTAGCACCCCAGGCTGTGCAAACAAGGAGCAATAAACATCTCGTACAGCTGCAGGAGCAGGTCTTTTCTGCAACAGTCAGCATAATAAATAAGCAATTCTGCTCCTCTTAAGCATATTTTTTTACTCCCTTGAGTTTCAAAAGCATGGAAAAAGTTACAGCATCTCAGGCAGTAGCACCACATAAAGCAGTTTCCTGGTTCCTTTAGGGAATTCAGGACTTTTGCAGAAGCAGTGATGACGACAACAACAGGAAATAGATTTTCCTCGGAGGAGGCTTAAAAACCACTCTTTGCCACCAGCGAAACGAATGCTCTCAAAGTCTTCTGCACTAGAAGTGTGCAGGATCTATGAACTCCACTACTCTCACCCCGGGCTCCGAGCTAGCTCCTTGCTTTCTGCTCAGCCCTGTGTCTTGGCCACCACTTGTATCCAGGTCTAATGGCGACTGGTTCTGAAGCAGCATTTCCTTGCCACAAATATTTTGCACTCAGCAGCCAATGAACAAACACTCACAGCAATCCAAAAGCGCTTTCTAACTTGGAGCAAGCTGGCAGTTGTGCTCAAAAGCACCTCCTGCCAACCATCCGAATCAAACACATGATCCTGCCCTTCTCTCGGTACAACACATCGATGATCTTCTATTTCAGCCTGACAAGGAAGCCTGAGGACTACCAACCATGTCTTACCCTTATTTTACCTCAGCTAGACTGGTGAGCGTTTCTTGCCTGCTACCAAACAGACGGGGTCTGTCCGGCCCTTCAGAACAACTCACCCCTCAACTTTTTTTTCCTCCTTTGCTGAACAGGATGAACAAATAACCCTTCAGCTCCAGCTGGTTCAATTTTACTCACTCACTGAGTGCGAGTGGCTGGCAGCAACTCCAAGCAACACCACAACTAGCGCACGCTGTCTCCAAAAGGCAACAGAAAAGAAGCACTTACACCTATCAACAATGTTTTATCTTATGACACGTTTACATTCTGCAAGTCTATCAACTCTTTAAATACTTAAGTTCTCTCCTATACCTCCTTTCTTTATGTACGTATTCTGAGCATTTGATTTGGCTCACAGCCTGGAAACAATCAGCAGTTGCAGGGTTAAAGAACATTTATAAGAGACCTGCTGTTTCAAGGAAGGACAGGAGGTTATGTGAAGCTGTCGGCTGGTCTGCTGGCTAATTAAGAGTTTTCCATCCCAGGAAGTAAGCAGCTTATAAAATCAGCTTTCCTGAGACACTGTATTTGGTACTGAAAGGACAATACAGGATGTACAGCTGAGTTCATAGAACTTTGTAAAACAAATATGCCAAATGATACATACTTCGTATTAAACCACATGATTTTTCTGACTTCGTAAGCCTGTTAGTGTTAATCATGTGGAATTTTACAGAGGCAATTGCTTGCAATCTTTAGAACAAAGAGATATGGTCAAATTCTTTTTTTTTTTAATACGTACTAAATGCCATGTATAACTCAAATGTGGCATGATATACTGTGACAGTAAGAAACAGCATGATCAACTCAACTGAAGAATTCAATTATCATCTCATCTCCAGGAATATCATGAGTATTTCATCGTTTCTCTAATAATTTGAATGTACATTTATTAAACACTTTCACCAGAAATTACTTCTTAAGTCCAGTAATATAGCATTTGAGTACTCTGATACTGGCAAAAGATTTAACAGTTGGTTATAACTGGTCTCACAGTGCTTTCGCTTATTTCCCCCACCTCCCCAGTCTCCAAACACCAAGAAACAAATTCAAAGTTGATTTCTGCAACTCCATAATATTTGCTTAAACTGCAGAAATACCTAAACATATGCTAAAGCACAGCCACACAAGAGTTTACAGAGCCATCAGCAGTACCTGATTTCACATTTGAACTACCAAGATTCGTTCACATAGGGTATTTGGCACCTGCCAGTCTGTTTTTGCTTTCCCTGTTAATTCTCAGCCATCACTGTTCACTCACAATCTCTGCATGTGTATCCTTCCTACACACAGGATATACATATCAACCAAAAAAAAAAAAAAATTTCTGGTTCCCTTAAGAAAGCTATGTTATTTTACCAATGCCACAGTTCCCTGTCTGTGGGCTAACACACAGAGGCCAGCAAACAGGAGCAGGCTGAGAAAAATACTTGAAAGTTAGGAGGTTTTATGATATCTCTGGTGAAACACTGGCAGAACTGGTACAAAAGATCTCTTGCAAGTACTGGTTATGGCTGGGATTACGATACAAAAACACATCTGGCATAGAAGAACAGGAAGTGTCCCATATAAAAGGCTCCTCATCTCCTGACAACTCCTGTTTGGCTTAACATTAAGAATTATGGTACAAAAATGAGGTTGGACAATTAACAAGCAAAAATAAAAAAAAAAACAATAAAAAAGTAGTGAACAAGCTCCTTTTTAAAAGCCATCTCTCCTCATGTTGCTACCTTAGTAACACTGAGTGAATAACACCAACCAATCATAAGACCATTTGGTTAATGAAGCAGCAAACCTTCCTTTAATCCCATTTAAGAACAGATTATAAAGATACTTGTCCTCTCAGGTACATTTAAAGTAGTATGTAACAAATCTACACTTAGGGGACAATTGGCTCTAAATACAGGAGCCTCTACTGTAAAGACAGTCCAATAATTTTGGAGTACCTTGACTGAAGAACAGACAAATTTAAGTCACCTGAAATTGTTTTTGATGTTCTGGTCTAAGCAACCATTCTCTACGAACCAGTTCTCTGACATACAGTAAGCAGGGTACCCCACTGAAAGCACCTCAATCCTCTCCAGTTACGTTGAAAAGTCTAAGTCAAAAAACCTTCCATAATTTACTGTGTAAACGTAGCCATTGGAAAAAAAACAACTTGCACGCAAAACTGATTACGGAGTGATTACATTTATCTCCACTGGGTGGTTTTGTTTATTCAGTATTTGACTTAAAACGTCATACTCCTTAAGAAAACCATTAGTGAACACTTAAGAGTATCTATAAAGGTCTAAGTACTGTATGTTGCCTATGAAAAGTTTTATTTTAATAAAGTAATCAAATATGAAGGACGTTTTAACTATGAAATATAAGCTTTCTGGTTATTTCTCACTGACTTAGTAATATCTTTTATCACACAATGCATGTAAATATTTTAGGAGTAACCTGCTTCTTTTACAATACTTACGAAACTTGCATGGATTTTGCACAGTATCGTACACATTGGAAACTTTTTCTAGATCCAGAGTAAACAGCCTGGTTTTATATTGAAGGAGCTGCATGGGGGGGGAGGGTTGGAGGTATGTATTAAAGTTCACAAGCAAAGAGTTAAACTTACCAATGCTTGTAGCTTAGGACAGTGTATAGAAAGTTGTATCAATGTGCTGTCAGTTATCTAGAAAGAAAAGAAACCAAACAACCATAAGCCGCAGACAGCAGGAGGGCCAACCCTCAGATAGGATCTCTCTTTCTAGATTACATCCAATCACCTGTTGCTCTTCAAACTTTTCCCTGTATAGAATTTCCCAATAATGATTTTTATTTACCACTACAAACACAGCACTATTAATAAAAAACAAAGCACATTTAACTGAAAGTGCTAATATTCTTATTGGCACTGCATTCTTACACTGGGCGTTCAATACTCCTTTTCATGTTAAATCTCACCAAAACGCATTCTTCCAAGTCCATCTTCTCCAGCTCGTGGCAATTCTAAAATAAACAAAAACCAAACAGATAAACAAAAGACAAAATAAAACAATACATAGACGTAAAATTGTGCACAGGGCTACTAATATTGGAAAGCGCAGCCTCCAAGAGGAAACTGTGAGCTAAATCCCTTCAAGTATTTGATTACCATCAAGGGACAAAAAATGGTAAAAAAAAAAATAATAAAAAAACCCCCACAAGCTATACAACACCTCCTCCCCAAACCTCTACATTGGCAGCCTTCCTCTCACTAAGTCTAAGGTTTGCCCTGTAAGGTTTGGAACAGTATGTATGCGATCAGTACTCACTCACCCCTGCTTCCCTTCCCTCTCTTGGGGTCCATTTCAACTCCAACCTACGGTATTTACTGCCCATGCACTAAAGCTAACTAATCTGCATACAGATGAGTCCAACTTCTGCGTACATCAGCCTGTACCAAACTAATCTGAAACACACTTAAGCCTGTGAAACATCTCTCTTCACCATCGTACTTTAGAAAGACACCTTAAAAACAAGTTGCTTTGCTCATGAATGCTGAAAATATTAAAACAGGGCCCACTTTAAGGCTGGGAGAAAGCTGCACTTCACATTTATACAAGCAATTTTCTCAATATGAGAAACCCCTAGCAAGCTTTTAGAAGCGCTTTCAATGACTGCTCATGACTAATTTCAAGAAAATGATGTAAACCTTGTGACCTCACAGCAGACCACATGGTGCCACAGCGCAGCCCAAACCCCAAACCCTCTCATTTGCAGGCGTGTGAAAAAATGGTTTAACCTGCAGCTCCAAGAATCAGGCTTGAGGCGACTACCGAAAGCACAAGGCTGTCACACTGAATGGTTAGAAAACCACTCTGTTTAACCACCATGGCTAGAAAAAAAAACTCCTTTCATTCACACTAAATACCAGTAGTGTAAACGAATCCTGTTTACAGAGTATTTGGTTTGTGTTCAGGTTTCCTAAACCAGCACGCATCCAAGGCTGACTTGAAGCATTTTATACAATCTCTATGCTTACTTTACATGCTTATAGCATAAACCAGGGCACAAGTGCTTATAGTTCATAACATATAATGTAAGTATTTTTGTAACTTCAAGGTGTGCTCAGAATCTATTATATGGTGATTTTTGGGGTGTAAACATCACAAGGGTATGTGTCACATTTATAAAGGAAATTTGGCTGGAATACATAACACAAGTTTAGAATTATGTTAACCATAACATATCCAAATATAAACACACTAAAAAAAAAAAAAAAAAAGAGGGGAAAAAAGTGAAAAATGCAACGATAAATGGCAAAATAGATCAAGTTGCAGCTCTAAGTATAATCCTGAAATAAAATCACTTTTTAGTCCCCTCCTCCACTGGGTTCTTCCTACTTTGTTTTTCTTCTTCTCATATTCCTTCCCAGCAGGACTACATCAATTCACAGCTGCGCAGCAGCAATGAAAACAAGGCGAGTTCTAACCTTCTGAAATGATCCTTACCCGTGCTAAAAGGGTAAACCCGGCATCTGTAAGATGTGAACATCTTGCAGCTTCCAAAATCCTGGAAAAGTTTTAAATGTTAAAGAAAACATTAACATAGAGAAAAGCAAATGCATTTGAAATACAAATTTGGCTTCTTCAACTTAAAGTTCTCGATAGCAAATGTATATATATGCCTGGTTTTCACAGTACTTTGCAATTAAAAAGCACTAGGCAGACTTTTGATCCAGCTTATCAGAAGATTCTAATAGCCACAGAACACATTAAGTTCATTCCTCAAATCTCTACATTCAGTGCAAAAAAATTATACATAATTATAGGCATTTTGACCTTGTTTCAGTAAGACAGCATAATGCTCAAGTTTTATCATGTGTTATCTGAGGAAAGACACAGGAGAATAAACCCCGAGTTAAGGAAAACGCAGACAAAGCCTGCATCTGAAACCTGTTATCTAAACACAGGATGTTGGGAAGCCACAAAACTGAGAAACTGCTTACTAGAAATTCACTCAGAGCCTCTGTGTGAAGCACAGTGAAGCAAGTTACCAGAAAGCAAGAAGCTTAAATTCTCCAAGCCCACAATAAAAACAATGAACTACACCAATACAACCTTAAAGAAAATAACGCAGTGTTTTGGAAAGATAAACCTAACACTCTTTTGAGAGATACTGGGAAACAGCACTGACAAAAAAAGGTCAACTGCCCCAAAACAAGCACCACCAGTATGCAGAACAGGGCTCATCCCGTAAATGCTGTTTTTTGTTGGTGGTTTGGTTTTGTTTTTTTTTTTCAGTGAATGCTTTTTTACTTTGCAGGTAGAGTAAGTATCAAAATGAGTAAGGGGAAACCACAGCACTGTGCAATGAGAAGCACAAACCAGGTGCAACTTACCCACTCACCACAGCAAATGCTACTTCTGGGCTGGGGTCGGTGGGGGAGGAGGCAGGGCAAGGTGGACAAAAGAACCTCTTGCTGTGGTAACACTTACAGGCATCTAGACCCTTCCACTAGTTTAGGAGGCCATTAGAAAGCACCCTCTCTACGGATAAAGTGCAAAGGGAAAAGCCATGCCGTGTGTACAAGAAAAATAGAACCCCGCCAGAGTGCGGGACGTGGGGCTCCAACAATGACTTTGCTGGCTCAATCTCTTCCAAGCCAAAAGCAAGAGCGTAGCTGAGTGTAGAGGTAAGCAGCCCCCCAGGCTACACCCTTGATAACCATTTCCAGAGTACTAGTCTTCAACAAGGTTCAGAAGTACGATGGAAACTCAAGATCAGCCAACAGAGAGGTGGCAAGACAGGTACTGCTTTCCAAACGGATGGTAGTACCACCTCCAGATTTTCTTTCCAGACTCACATTTGGGAACTTTGTGCCCTTCCATCAAGGGCAGTTAGCAACCTACCACAAAATACTCTCAGCTACTCTGAAAATTACCTAGGATACTGGGTAGGGAAAGGAAAAAAAAAACCCCTACCACCATCAAAACCCCCATGATTTAGGTCACATTTGTTACCCTTTACCCCATTTACTTGCTTTGAACCCCATCTACACTTAGAACCACTGGATCCCCAACCTCATTACATTTCTGACTTTAAAGGGTGGGGGAGTGGGGGGATTACATCCTCAGCGTGCAAATTAGTGGGGATGCTACTTACTGCACATTTGGTTGAAAAGAAGAGTATGGAAAAAGGGGAGCACGACACCAGAAAACTAGCAGCTCTAGCGTTCCTGAAATTGGGTGTGCAGTCAGTCAGAAAAGCAGAGTGGGGAGAGTGAGGTATACATAAACACACTGCATCAATCAGGTCCCCATATGAAAACCAGGTGGGAAGGCACTGGTCAGCACGAACGTGAGCAAAGTTCTAATATTTCCTTTGTTTTAGTGATTGTACTTAATTACAGAGGATTCTTCTTTTTTCCAGGTACAGCTGACATTTATTTCCCATCCAGTAATTCATGACAAAGTACCTAGCATAGGAGCTGATGAGAAGAAATGACATCCCAGAGCAGATTCCCCGCTCTTGAAAAGCAATGTTCCCCAAGACAGACCTCACAGTTGCATTCATTGCCTACAGATGACTTTTGGGCACACCTGGAGTGTCTCCACACGCAGCACCTCCCTACTGCTGTTGAATTAGCAGCAGGTGGGAGGGAACATTGATGGGGTTAAAAGCAGTATGATCCTAATTTTCACAGCCCCATAGGGCTTTTCACAGGTGTTCATGGGTGCTTTTCTCTGTAAGCCTCACCAAAACACCTACTAGTATTTTAAACACTAAGAAGTGCTAAAAATGAAAAATAGAGAAGGTATCAAGTGCTCAAATGAGCCGATATAAAAAGGGATGCGAAGACAGCTATATCTTGATGTAGGGGGAAAAAAACAGCTGAAGGGAATTGGTCAAGCCTAGGAATTTTTTCAAGGAGATGTCATCTGTGAGTTGTAACAGCTGCAGAACACAGCAATACATGACCCCAAAAGTCTAGATGTAACCAGATGTATCACCTGTCTTTCCACCAAGAACTCCTCTGCAGTAATCACTGTAAAGGGCCATTTTTTTTTCCTTACAGTGTTCCTCATTAAAGGAGAATGGCAGACGCCTTCCCCCTCGTGGCACAGACAGGGGCTAACAGTTTACCTACCAAAGTCAAAACAATTCCTGCTACAGTTGTACTGCCCTTGGAAAGAACTGCACAACTAATAGCACTTTAGACCTCCTTTTATTTCCTCTAATTTTGACACAATTAAGCGTGTCAGAAGACTCCTTGGCCCCAAACATGGGCACACGTAAGCTCTTCTAAGTATGAAACATTACATGAAGGGGACTATCACTCTGGAATGATCTTAAGGATGGGGTTTCTACAGTAAAAAAAGCTCTTTTTCACTCAATCAGCTAAAGGAACACTGTGCGTCAGCATATTGCACACTGGAATGTAGCTTCCCCTAATTTTTACTACCTACGTTGCTTCAGTTATCTGCGATGGAAGCGTAACAAGTTGCGACTCCTGCACGTTCCTGTCATGAATGGCAATTTAGTGTCATGCAAAAATCTTTTGTTTAGATTTAATTTACATTAACGTTAGACCTTACAAGAAGTATTCTACGTCCCTACAACCAGAGAGCGGCTGCATGGCTGAGCTTCATTATTAAAGCTGAAGCTGTCCCCACTTCTGAGAATACCAGCAAAATGTATGTTAGTGCAAACTACATAAATGTAAATGTTTATTTTAACTGACGAGCCTCTGTTACTCAAAATGTATCCCATAAGTATCAGTCCTCAGTGCTTGTAGAGACATTTATAATCAAATCAGTAAATATAATATTCAGGCATGATTTAGCTATTTTTTTTGTGAGACAAATGACTGCATAAAACCACATCAGAGTACAAACATCACAAGATACAACACAACTACAGATATTTTTACCTTTTAAAAAATAATGGGCTTTATATCTTCTTTTCTTCTGGCTTGTAATTAGCACCTAAAATATTTAGCTGGAAGCACAGAATTGAACTGCTAGGTTCAACATATTTTATTTGTCATATATTAATTCTTGTTTTTCTAATATACCAAGAACTACATTTATATGCTAGCTACACAGGACCAGCCCTCAAGTTTATATTCAGCTGGTACTTCTAATTAAATGTTTTGATTGCAAAGGTAACACAAACAACACAAAGCTAAATCAAACCTGTGGACATCAGCTGATTATCTTCAGAAGTGAATTTCTTAGATCAGGCCAGTAACAATATGACATACTCACGACACGATCGTGACATACTCACTTCAGCCTTGGACAGTTTAGACCAAGTGCTGTGAGAGAAGCATCTGTAAGGTTGCTACAGCCTGAAACACAGAGCGATTGAAGTCTATGACATCCTCTACAGATTTTTACAATGCCTTCATCTGAAATTTGCTGTAATATAGAAGAGGGTTGAAGTTATTTCATTATCAAGTAATCAGCTAGGATCAAAAATCAAGTCATATTACTGAACTGTTAGTGTCACATTGTATATAACCATGGCAACCTGTGGATTTTCAATCAAAATTACCACTGTGAAACCACGTTCATTGATAACACTGAAGATAATCAACACACACAATTCCTACCTATCTATGTATTTTTCCACCGATCTCGAGTACTGCTCAAAGGCAGGCAAGCAGAGAGGAAGAGTAGTTTCTTGTCTTCCTCTTTTACTTTACTTTTGCTTTATAATTTTATCTTTTTTTTTTTTTTTTAAATTGTGGTTGTCATTGTGTGAAATATCTTGCTTCTTACATGTTTGTAGAGTTCAGGTCTTTCGTTCCAGTGACCAAGTTGGGGACCAGTGCAGAAGATTGCTTAAAGCTCAACAGCAGAAGAGCTAACTGCCTATTTTGCACTAGAGCAGCAGAACCCAGGGGCAAAAATCCTTCACCTCCAGATAATTTTCAAAGCAAGAGTTACAGGTAAACAGTTACATATAATACGTTCTTTACAGAAGACATATGTAAAAGCCAGGTTTGCCCTAGCCTACGCAGTTGTCTTTAGCTGAAAGATTTAACTCAAAAGAGGGGTTTCATTTCTCAGAATTGTTTTGTACTAGATATTCTGGAAAAAGTAACTCTCTATTTGGAATATGAATAGAAAGTTTTCTCTCTGAAACAGGAACTATAAGAAATAGCCCCAGTGCAGCTGCACACAAAATAGCAACAGGAACTAGATTATTGGCGGTGTGTGCAAATATTATTTTGCTTGCAGGTCTTCTATTCTGGAAAAAGTATTCTCTCCTCCTTCCACCCCTAACTCCAAGAATTTAATTCTTCTGCTGAATGACTAATCCGCCACAGTGAAACAGGTTATTTTATTTCCTGGCCTAAATTACTCTTCCAACGATAACAAAGACCTCTGCTGCATTTTGAATTGAAAATACACATTCCTTTTATAAGCCTCTCATCTAGGTATGCTAATACTACTACAGCATATTTCTGAGGCTATTACCACAAACATTGCTTTTCATAGATGAAAACAGGATGAGAGATAGAAGCAGTTCAGCACAAAGGGAGATCACCTTATGCCTCCTCCCCCAATCCAGCACGTTTTAATATCAGTAGTTTAAATTTGCTAATTGTTCTGTCAAATAAAAATTATTCCAGACAGAAAATAGGAGTCTTGTCTTCTTTTTGTGGATCCAGAAGGACTTGCATGATCTACAGAGAAGAAGATACTTTCCAGAACTGTTTTGTTCCCTCTGAGAGGTACTCATGACAATATTATTGGGAAAAGGAACTATTTGGGCGGAAAGGACTATGTAAATTTTATGCTGCTGCTGGAGATCAACAAAACCCTCAAGTTATATATGAAAATTTTCCATTCTGAAATTGCTTGTGATATCGATGCCTACATGCCTCTCAGGGAAGTGCTCAAAAAACACCTGCAAGTCCCCAGTTTCTACGCTCTACAAAGATGGTACCTTTCAGGTGTGCAGTTTCCAGAGTTAGTATCAGTTCATTCTATAGCTGCTGGAGCCTGCCTGGTATTTTATAAGGTCCATAAAACAGAGCCACTAGAATTAAAGTGTGGATCATATAAAGCACAAAGAGACCTGCTGTGTAAAAATCAGTGCTAGCTCTTTGATCATAATGAGCCCGGCTCCTTCTGGAAGCATGCTTCTAAGCCATAGCAAGCAGGACACATCTCCAGTGAAATAAAGTTTTAAAGCACATGTAACTAGGTAGGACACTCAAAAAATTCAAAGGGAAAAATACTTTCACTTATGAGGGGGTTTTTATTGGTACTTAATATCTGTGTGACAACATACTGGCCAAGGGAAAACTCTGGTACACTTTTACGCCAATGGCCCTTTTAAGCGGGAGAGATCATAACTGATTATCATCAGATCTTTTGAGAGCCTTCCACAAAAATAATCATAAAAGGCTGGCCTTGATCTATCTCATTAGTCTCAGGTAAAATACAACAGAAAAAGAATTTTGGAGGAGGAGGACAGCAAAAGGAAGAGTGAAAGGGGAAATTACATACTGACTTCATTTATTTAAGTGTGGTTCTGACCAAAAGAAGGTACTTCCTTTCACTCCCATTACCTTTAGGTGCCCAACTACAGTGGGCACCTAAATTCAGATTGAAAAATCTGAAAATTCTCTTTCACTAAATGTCTGGCTCATGGAAGCTTAAGCTTTGTATTCATATTGTTCTTCATTTCTGCAATTTTTCAATGTAACTTTTAATAATTCCAAAATGTTCAACACTTTAAAGAAATCTATTAGGTCCGAAAATTTTCATCCAATCTTAAAAAAAAAATGGTTCCATGCCACATTCATTCAGAATTGATTCACACAGATTTGAAAATTTTAGCCTAAGCAGATTTGATGATACCTTCTAGCAATAAAGGTATAGAAAACTTTCAAAAGAAAAAAAAATAATCTAACTTCATTATTCAAATTTGCATGACAAACACTGAAATTCTAATTTATTTCAATATTTTCTAAGGTTTATTTACAGAACAAAAATGACTTAAATACATTTAAAATCTAAAAGATCTTTCTCATTCCTAAAAAGTCACATCAGAAACAACAAAAAAGCAAATATAAAATACAGCAAATCTAATTTGTGTACTCTCTAAGTAGAATTTAAAGTACATGAATGATTCCCAGTTATTCCATTACAAATGAATGCGTTTGAGTACTATTGAAAAAGCATGCCCTTCTTCTGCTACCTAGATGGTTCTGAATCATCTTCAGTTATGATGTCCTTACATTTTACTCTCAATTATGTAGCCCAGAATGCGGCTTCTGCTCAGTTAGAAACCTTAAAATTATGAATAGACCAAAATGTTTGACCTTAATGGATGGGACAACAAGAACTACACCTGTAAAAATGCATGGTTTAGCACATACACAGTTCATGAGATTTGAATGAGTGCAGTTAGTTCTTACTCTAGAGCTTGCTACAGTTAAAAGATGTAATGAGGGGGAAAAAAATAACCCAACACTCCAAATCCACACTCAGCTGTAGAAACAGCCAGCTCATTTAAGATCTCTATTCCACACAAAATTCTGTAAACTGCAGAGTACTGTACTATTTGAATTATTTAAGTGAGTAGCAGATCAATTCATTAGCATTCAAAAATGGTTTATGAATCTTAGAGCATGTATCTTTTGAAGCTTCAAATACTTACTGTACAGGACTGCAAATTCAGGATTACAAGTTCATGACAGTGATTTTGAATGTGTTTCAGTGCTTCATCTTCTAACTGTATTTAGTAATTAAATCGGACATAGGAGAAGAAACAAGAAATTAAAAACAAAGCAAAGCAGCCAAAAGAAGGTACACATCTTGTAATATTGAACAAAAGACTATAACAAAATTGGTATTTTTTAATTCATGGAGATTTCAAAAAAACCCAAATAAAATTTTATTCCTAAAGGATCACCCAAGCAGTTATGTACCTGTGTGCAACCTCTAAGAAATAGAGCTTTTAGTCCACTACACCCTTTCACCAGTGCTTCAATACCATCCTTCGTAATCTGATCACACCAGGAAAGATTCAAATGTTCCAGATTTCTGCAACCCTCACTGGGAGAATTAAAAAAATACATAAAGTTAAATCCAGCCTTCAAATAGTCATAACAGTGGGAAACCCAAATTAAACACACTGTTAGAAATTAATGATAGCCAGTGGACTGTGCCAGGCCTCCACAGAAAAGTCATGAGAAAAGACCACACACAAACATCATAGTCTGCACCCAAGAAGTGCTAGATATAGGATATAGTCGGTGCTGATACACAGTATTAAGGTTCAGCACTGATTTTTTTAACTTTATTCAATGTCAAACAGCTCTTCAAACGCTTTTCTTTAACACAAAACAGTGAACCTTCTTACCTTAAGCCTTTCAAAGAGCTGTTTGTGATGGCCACGCAAGATGTCAGATCCAGATGTTTCAGCTTGGAACAGAATCTGCTAAGACTGTAACACGTGCTGCAAAACAGCAGACACACTAAAAATACCTTCAGCTACTTCTTTTTCCAAGTTTTCCCATCAAACAAAAAACCCCTTTGGCTTACCTGTCAGTGATTTTTGTGCACCCATTTAGATTTAAGTGTTCGATATTTCTACAGTTCTGTGCAAAGGTCCTAAAACAGCAACAAAAAGCTGGAGAATTAATGTAGTATCACAAGTTGCAATACAGTCACTAGAGTGCGCTCTGTCCCCTACCTCCTTCCACCTCAGTCAAAAAGCTTAATCTTCAAGCCACAGAGTAATTACAAAGTACATCTCAAATACATCTGTCTCAGTGGTTGCTTTTTCCTTGTGCTATTGCAAACTTCTGTCTCGGGTAACTCCTGAAATCAAGTGTTGTTCCTCTCTCAAATACCACTTAAGCAAGGTGTTTATTTCTGCCATATATAAGCCAGAACTGACATGCTCCAAATGCCTTAACTAAAAACATTAAGAGCATAAAACAGAAAGGTTTAAATACCACCTCAGTTAAACATTAAGCTGCTAGGGAGAGTTTTTGCACATCTCATTACTGAAGCCTTTGCAGGTCTTATTAAGGAGTTTGCTCCCACATCAAATGAAAAGGAATGTACCTTGCACAATACAGAAGTGGGACCTATGCCTATCAGACTACTAATGGAAAGCCCTGTGGGTTGAAAATTAGTTATTTATTATTTTAAAAAGTCAAATGCATCTGTGTGCACTACTGGGTATGAACTCTAAGGATGACTGGAGCTATTACACTGTTAAAAGCCTGCATGTATCATACTAATTAACCAGAAGAAATACATAAACTTTCTTTTCATCTCTGCCGAGTAATATTTACAGCTGCATTACATTTCAGAGCACTGTTTTTATGCCCATGTTTCCTCCAACTGCATGGATTTCATTGGCAGGGGTGGAGGAAACACACAAAAACAGTTTTGTCTGGAGGCTTGCCGTGGTTAACAGATCCGACTACACACTCAGCTGGTAACAACTTCCTGGCTCTCCAGCGTGGACTGGAAACAATGGAAAAAACCCCAGCAAGCAGTTATACTGGTGAGAGTTTCCACTTGAATTCTCAAAACAGCTATTCCAAAATTCATGTACTGGAGGGAGATTTACAATCGAGACACTCTTCAAATCACTTGGAAAGACGCTACATTCTGTAATAACTTGCAGAACAGAAAACTGTGCCTCCGAGATTCAAACACGGGACATGCCCTGACAGCTGCCACAAACATTCAGTACTTACATACTCAATACCTACTTTGATAGTTGGCTATTTTTAAACAAAAGCTGACATAGAAGAAGGATAAATAGAGAAATTAGTATCACCCACAAAACTAAAGGATCTGGAAACAAGTCAACACAAAAAGCCTGATAGAAAAAGTAGCTTTCAGAACAAGTACCAGAAAATTAATGCCACCTTTCTCATGCTAATGTCTTGAAAGTCTTAAAGCCCATGCATTTATCATTCATTTGGTAATTTCAATATAGCCTGCTTGTTTTTCAGAGGTAAATTACTTTGTTTCCTGAAGTGTCTTGGACACCAGCATCTGCACCAGTTAGCTGTTACAGATGCACGTGTGAATACTGGTAACACGCTGGTAGCTGGTCTCAGCTAAGCCTGCCCTCTTACCTACTAGCCATGACTAGTTATATCATCCCTACAATGTACCCATGCCACACACTGAACTGCTGTATACTTATTCTAAGTATCTGTTTACTAAATAGATAATTATTTAAAAATACCCTAGCCCCAGCCCTCGCCCTCTTCTCACATGCCACTAATTCCTGAACCCACTTAGAATTTTTGGTCCTATTCACAACCCTCACCGCAGTCCCCTAGCCTTAAGCATCCTGAAAAACACAGCAGGGAGCCTAAACCAAACGTGAAAATGGAGTTATTGGGGGGAAAACTGTTATCTTCTGTCCTGACTCTTTCTTCCTACACCTTTCTCATTGCCTTCCCCACTACCTCCTTCCCATGGTAGTTGCTGCCTCTCTCTAAGCCTGCCTTCCCCCTCTCTTCCACTTCTGCTGTTGCCCTCCCTACTGAGGACATAGGCACTGCTGGCATGAATGCTCTTGGGAACCTGGAAGAGCACTGCAGAAAGTTAACTCTGGTTGGGGCTACCTCTTTTTGACAGCAGTTGCCAGTAAACCGAGAGATGGTAATAATATGCACTTTCCCTTCAGGAGGCAAGACTGCCTAAAGGTGGTAGGTGACACACCAGAGAGCAGTTAGGGAGATGTCCTAGCGGCAAGGAAAGCTCTGGGGAAACCTTTGGGTCTGAAGCCAAGATGCCCATTTGGGTTACTAAAGCAATCTAGTAGCTGGATGAACTTACTCTAGAGACAAAAATCAGTGAACTAGACTTGCTTATAAATTTTAGAGAGAGCTAAAGGTCATGAGACACTAACTTAATGCCTGCTGCTTAACAAAAATGTTTGTGCTTATATTTTCCATCTAAGAATGGCCACACTACATCAGACTGAACCCCACCCAGCCCAATCTCCTGTGACAGTGGAAGAAAGTGTAATTGCAAAAAGCCATACCATGAGGCTTCCTCCAAATATTCTTCGAGCCTTGAAGTACTTGTAGCTTAGGGACCCTTCAGCTGGAGGTAGGATCTTTGGGATTAAATACTCAGAGAAATATCCACAGAGGAATCTGGCTAAACAGCTTGCATATAGAAAAAGCTTATATGGATTCAAACCATCTTCTGGGAACAAATTGCACAGTTCAATTTATATACTGTATAAAGAGGGACCACTGCCTCTATTTTAGAGGCTCCTGAGAGATGTTCCTGTTGCCTGCCTACTCTCACATTAGAGCAAGAAGAGAATCCCAGGCCCTTCACAATTTTGTAGGCACCCAATCGTACCAGTCTTTATTTTTCCTCCCATTGCTAGGGTCACCTCTTGGCCAGACAAGAAGATAAACTATAAACTGACTTACTACTCTCTTAGATTAAATTTATCTTTATTTATCTCTATTTTTCTTGATGAAATTAATATTGTAGGACGCCAGAGCATAGGTCTGAAAACATTTTAACTGCTTGAAAATGGAGAGTTATCAACATAATACTAATGAAATAAAAAGACGCATTTCTGAAAAGCACAGTTCTCATTTCTTAGTTCATTTCCAGAAAATAACAGTAGCTATACTTTTATCTCAAAATGACATCTCATTTAGTCATTATTAAGGTACTTAGTACTTACTTAAGTATCCCATTTTGGTCATTAGTACTTAGAATTCCAAACAAATGTAACAATAATTGCTTTTGGTCCGGACATTAGGAAATAAGTGATGTCTCAATCTAGGACTTTACTTACTTTAAAGAGGAGTCTCCAACACCAAGACATCCCCTCAGACTAAGTTGTCTCAGGAACCCACCACACCTTTTCGATATATTTTCCACAACACGACCCTTAAACCAAATAAAAGGAAGATTTTGTTGAGTTTTATTCTGACATAACACTCTAACCAAATTAAGAATGCTGGGAGTGGAGACCAGCCCCAGCTATAACCCACCAGAACTATACCTCTTTGAACTTCTTTTGCTACTTTTAAGAAAAAACAGTTACCTCTTAAGAATCTCCGCTCACACTGAAGTGTTACTCAATTCAACCTTCAGTTTCCTCTTCGTTTTTTTTCAGTCTATCACACATAGCTCAGTTTTTTGGCTCAGCAAAACCTACCTTTGCCCCAGGGGTGGAATGGGAGGCACGCCCATTCCTCAAGGAGCACAGTTACTACTACAGCATGTAAGTTTAAATTGTCCACAGAGACGGGCTTAGGCTAGTATATCACTCTGAACTACAGCCTCTGATGAAGTCCCATTTTGCCATCCCTGCTATAGGGATGGTAACCTCCGCAACTGAAAGGTGCTGAACACCTTGGTGAGAGCAGCCATTTCAGTTGCCTCCAGACAATTTGCTGGAGCCTGCCAGTCTTCAATGTCATAAATATTTGGGTGTCTGTGCCTAATATTTGGGAATGCCAAAGAACTTCCATGAACACCGTGAAGCTTACAGACTTTATGCTTCATTATTTGTCAAAAGCTGAAGCACAGCTTACAAACAAAACTTCCTACTTGACCCCACATTTGCTACAAAATGCTTTTTAGTTACATCCTGAAAGCACGTTTTGCATCAGGAGTAAGCTGAATGGCACAGTACTCTAATATTCAGTGTGAAAGTAGCATTATGAAAAAATGTTATTTAAACGACAATAAAAATATAGTCTTTTGGTAGGAAAAACAAGACAAGATAGCAAAAAGCAGGTGGCCACTGCAAAAACCGACCACACATCATCACATCATGTCTAATTTTAGGGAGGTAAGGTAAAAGAAATCAACACTGATCATTTAACAAACAGGATTAATACCCAACAGCACCTTTCACAGAATCACAGAATCGCAAGGGTTGGAAGGGACCTCAGGAGATCATCCAGTCCAACCCCCCTGCTAAAGCAGGTTCACCCAGAGCAGGTTACACAGGACTTCATCCAGGCGGGCTTTGAATATCTCCAGAGAAGGAGACTCCACAACCTCCCTGGGCAGCCTGTTCCAGTGCTCTGTCACCCTCAGAGTAAAGAAGCTTTTCCTCATATTCAACTGAAACCTCTTATGTTTCAGTATTTTCTTCTCTCTCTTTTTCAAGAAGGAATACTTATAAAATTACAGGCCAGTGGATTTTTGTTTTCCTCTCTATACAGGATGGTTACAATTTTACTGAAACAGTAAAACGTTCCTTACATTTTTCTTGTCACCTCTAATACCAAAGTCCTGGCTAGCACTATGAGAAAATATTTTCTTATCAGAGCTTGTTTCGTAGTCCATAAGTAACATGGTTTATCTTATCTCTCAGAAGAATTTACACCAAAACAAACAAGCTGAAAATCATTATACAAACAAAATTATGTATTTTTAAAAGCTTTCTGATTAGTCAGAATTATTTCTCAGTAAAGGCCAAATACCTTCACTGTAAGGACAAAATCTTCAAGGAATAACGTATAATGCAAGTTCAATCTACATTGCAGAAACAAGCCAAACCCTAATGCATTATTCAAAGCAAACAGAAAGAAATAATGAGATAAG